TGTTAACACTGTTTAACTCAGTTGCAAGCACAGTACTGACAAAGTTAAAACTCCAGTGAGGTGTTTAACAAAAGAATAACTACACACTTTCACTGCATTCCAGTGATGTGCTCAATGTCTCACACCCTCAACAATAAGTAAATCCTCAGGTAGAAGGCATTCAGCAGTCATAAATTCAAAACAACAAAATACTAACTGTAAACGTTTCCCATAACAGCATCGAAGTTAAGCGCATGAACCTGTCCAACTTACAACAAAAGGGGTGTCCAAGATATAGGATGTTGTGGACATGTAAAATTATAGGATATTCGCCGGTTCCAATTAAAAGTGTCCAATATATAGGGGTGTCCAACTAGAGGGGTTTTACTGTAATTGGTAATCTTGAAGGTAAGATACCACTTATGATACTTAGCCTTAAAAGGAAGGATAATATTAAAATGTTTTTAAGGAACTAGAGTATGTGAGAGTTCAAGTACCGACTTTTGTGAATAAGGTAATGAATCTTGTGGCTGTATAAAGGCCAAACATATCGTGGCCAGGTGACAGAGTAATAAATATCAAGAAGGGCCCCGCCTAATGGTGTTAGAATAAGTTTCGTTTGGCAGCTTTTTTTTATATACTGTGACTTGTTACGGAATGTGTGTGTGTGTGAGCAGGAGGGCAGAACAGAACATCAGGCCAGCTCACAACCGAAAAGTATGACCCTGCAGAAGACACGTGGACCGAGATGCCTGCCATGAACTTCTATTCAACTGACTTACACGCAGAAGTGATCAACGATATGATCTACGTCATCGGTAGATATTACGAATCGCACATATTCGTTGTCAATTGTTATAACGACAAGGAAGATAAATGGTTTGTTTGTTTCTTTGTTTGATTGTTCATGACTGTATAATCACAAACTGTTACTTTCAAAAATCACTAGGAAGTGAATCATTTCCGGTCAAAATATCCGCGATCTTGCGGATGCTGAGCCGTGTAGTATCGTAGAAACTGGCCGACGTTTCGGAGGTTCTTACTGCTTACTCAGGGTCTTGAATACAATGCGCGAAAAATGGGTGAGTGGAAGGGGATGGAATGAAAGCAGGCGGTTAAGCTGAAAATTGTCTTGAGAGTAGATAATACTGATGGGTGATGGAAATGGGTTTGTTTTCACTTTTACTATTGAAAATTGCAGGTACAAGGTGACAAACATGAATGTTTGTAGATTCTTCGCGTCGACTTGTGTCATCAAGAACCTACCGAATGCAAGCGATTACGCCTACAAACACAGAGACAATTTAATGAAGCGGCTGTGTGCAAAGTACAGAAATAGTGAAATTGTGAGAATATTAATTTTGATAGTCATAGCTGCTTTCGGATTTATTCTTTACCGACTCACCGAAAATTTTTGATTTATATGTTGTTAGTGTATGTGGCCATGTGCTTTTTACGTTACCACAGACAATCAACGTAAATTTTTCGCTGTTATATTTCTTCAGGACCGACTTACCGAAAGTTTATCATATAAACATAGTGACTGTCAAGTGCAATCCTGAACAACTTCTGCTGATTTTTAACTCTGTTCTGTGTTACCATAAAAGGCTGTGTACGTTATTTTGCACCAATTTATTAAGAATAACGCAGAGAAAAGTATAAAATACGCTTCATAGACAACAGTCAAAGAAGAACTAAAGACAAGATTTGTTCTTGCGTTGTTATAAACTGTCTGGAATATTAAAAAAAACATTTCATATTTCTCAATATATCTCCAGTACTAATTTTTGAGGACATTTAATTTCTCATCCCATGACTTACTGTTTACTAGCATCAATGTCACTGGAGTATATCATCTGGAGTAACATTTGCACCTTAGTATACGCATCCATATTTATTACATTCCATGAATCCATACATTAATAAGATGACATAGTCATAATAATACACAAGTTAAATTCAAAGTATTACAAATATTTCACATAAAATAAGCAAGGGGTTTATATAAAACAGTAAAATGTTACAAATAAATACACCCATTACATAGATATAGATATAGTTACCTACTACGGTGATCTAGCGGTTAGAACGCTGGCCTTGTAATCCTGGGGTCTCGGGTTCGATTCCCGGCGGTGCCCGAATTTATAACTTGTGTTGGGCAAGGCCCTGGTCTAGGCAACACGGAGTTTTCCTCCGGGGGCTTCCCCGGTTTCTCCGTGGCACCCCAACAATTACTCCATTCACACACAGAAGAAGGCAATGGCAAACCACTTCTGGATCATCTGCCAAGAACGTATATGAACAGGTCCCAGTCCGAGAAAAGGATGGAAGGATCCTGTTCATATGGACCTGTCGTCAGACAGAATACTAAAAACAATAAAAAGATATAGTTATAAAGACAAGAAAACCGAAAAGAACATTAGAAATTCATCAACAGATTAAAAGGAGTTGTGTAATGAAGTATCTTTTAATGATACTTTAAACTGTGCCTTTTCATTTTTAACTTGTGAGACTAGATGGCAGACTGTTAGAAAAGCTGATGCGTGCATAATGTGCACTTTTCTGAAAACAACAGGTTAGAATTTAGTCTATGTAGTCAATAATTACTCCTTTTGTTGACACTCTGTAGAGTGGAATTAGCTCGAAAGTGTTCTTTGTTATTTGGAATGAAGTTCATTAATGAGAATATGTATTCAAAATGGAAGAAAGCAATGCTGATTTTGAGTGTATTATTAATGATATGTCAATACACATATTTGGTATAAATGACAAGTGTGTGTGAGCTTTCCAACCTGAGTAAACAAGGAATATACCACAATTCTATCTTATTTCATTACTATTATCTGACGAACGCATCAAGCTGCAACTTCAGGGTCCTCGTTTAGAAGTCCACAGTGTTTGATTCTTGTATCTGTTATTAGTTCTGAGATAAGTGACATCATACATCTCAATTTTTAGCTAGCTTACAAAAACCGTGAAATTTTGTGTTAATTTCTGACCAGAAATACAGCATCAAATTAGATCCCAAGGGCAGTAAGGAAAATATGCCTACAATGTCATGGTAAAATAATATGAATCTAATCAAAGTTTCTTGTGTTATTAGAATGTTCACTTTGTGGAAATAGCAGGTGTGACATTTTTCTTTTGTGTACATTTCCCGAAAATTTATAATATTTGTGAAATAGTGATATCAGGGAAGCTTAATGCTTGTGCGCTCCCATAACAGACACCATATCCAGGAAGCCTGTGACCTAAGAGTTTTCAGTTTTCTGCAATTTCTGAATTTTGGGTCTTTATGCAGATATAAATAGAACTAAATAAAGAACACAAATTACATACTGAGATGTGCTTTATTTACAATTCATATTTGTTTTTTGTGATAATGAGAAAAACCTTGTCAAATCTGTGGTGTAACTGTCACCATATCTCTAGAGCAATGATATTCAACCTGGGGTACGCGTACCACCGGGGGTACGCGAAGACATCTTAGGAGGTACGTAAAATTTAAAAAAAATGTATATATTATTTTATGATAAACACTGAATAATCAGTAATGTAATTTATTTTAGATGTAGATTATTTACTATGTACAACTTGAATTATACACCAACATCTTTGGGGGTACAAAGTTGAAGATAAATTATATCTGGGGGTACGCGAACAAAAAAGGTTGAATACCACTGCTCTAGAGTATTAGTGTTAAGTAACAACAGATTACGCTTATGAATTTCAATTCATTTATGGTAAAACAAATGTTATTATTTCAAAAGGAGACAGTATAAACCAGAAGAAATTAAACAACAGAGTACAACAATGGTGCCCATTGTCATCAGTCGTTTAGATCAAGTCACGATGATATCCCCAAACGCGGGCAAAGGATTTTTCCTCTAACCTCCCGGGTGTAAAGCGCGGACGGAGCGTGATGCTGACTGCTCACTCCTGTCTGGTGCAGAGGTTAAGAGTGAGAAACAGCTATACCTCCTTTCCCCCCCTACAATCGCCTCATGTCGTACAGTGCGTCAGCTTTACTTTCATGTCATAAAATAATGGCAAGACCTCTTCCAAAGTAGTATCTTGAAAACACTCCTTTTTGCCGAAGATGAAGTGATCATGGCTGTATCGTGCTTCTCGACATTTCTCTCTTCCTAACGACCTCTTGAGCTACGCATGAAAATAACAGACCTTAAGTTTTGAAGACAGGCTTGTTGCAGTCAGTCACTCAATCATGCTTTCGAATGTACTCATGAATTAAGAGCTCTCCCAGATATATTACTCCGTTTGAGGCATTAGAAAAGGCCTTAATCGGTTTATGGAGGATTAACCAAAAAGCTAAGACAGTTTCGGTACTCACAATATTACACTGAGATAACTAAGTATGCCATAAGACTGGGTACAAAGCAGGAATTGTTTAAATCCATTGGGTACCTCCTTGTGTCTGGATGCCAACTATCCCGACAAAGGTTACATTTAATTCTTCTAAAAAAAACTGCTGAAACAGTTCTTGTAATTGGGCACGACCACTTCCCATCACAGTCTTCCGAATTCATCATTTTTAATCCTCAAACATGTCAGGGCATCGTTATGCAAACTGTAAAAATTGTATACGTTTGATATACGTACGTTCGCCCGTACTCGCTCGATAACGCCCGACCGTCAATTCGCGCAGCCTCTCATAGAGACTCTCCTTGACGCGCTCTGTGCTTTACCCGGTCTCTGCCTCACACATTCTCAGCTTGACTCGTTCTGTGCCTCACCGTCTGTCGAACTCGGTCCTTGCAGAGGCAGCCTGTTAGATGTCGGGGCACAGAACGATTCGTACAGATATTCGGCAGAGGCCGGGTCGTTCAGAGACAGGGTGCAGCAGAGACAGCGTCATCTAGATACAGGTTATGGCAGCTACCGATTGGGGAGAATTATAAAAAAATCTCATTTTTCAAAATTTTCTAAAAATTAAAAAATGAAGAAAAATGTACAAAACGCGCAGAAAACTAAGAAAATTTGAAAAATTCCGGCTTCAAATGTTCTAGGAAAATTTCGAAACTTTTGGTTATTTTCGTTTTTCACGACATTTATAACCCTTTCTAAGTTTTTTCAAAATTTTGACAAAAATTTTAAATTATATCAAAATTTTCGAAAAATCAATAAATTTAGGAAAACGCCCAAAAAGCGCACAAAACTAAAAGATTGTTGCAAAATTCGGACTTCGAAATTTTTTACGAATTTTTCGAAACATTTTGGTTTTGTGCGCTTTTGAGACAATTTACACGGTTTTTTGATTTTTCGAAAATTTTGAACAAATCGAAATTTTTTCTAAGCTTTATATACACCATCCCTATCAGAAATGTTTTCTCCTGGACTCGGTCTCTGCCAGACTGTATCAGCCTCACACAGTTTCAACCACATTCGCTCTGTGCTTCTCCCGGCTCTGCTGACAGTGTCTATGCTTCACCCAACCTCTGCGGACCCGGCCTGTGCCACGCCGGGTCTCTGCCTCACACGATTTCTGCTTGACTTTGTCTGTGCCTCACCCGTCTGTGTTGACAGTGTCTGTACTTCACACAACCTGTGCTGGACACGCTGCAAGCGTATTCGCGCGAATTGGCGGTCGAGCGATATCGGGCGAACTGTCGGACACGTTTACAAGGTCTGTAATCGGTCGCGCGTATCGCTCGACATCGCTCGTCGTTCAAACATGTTTGTTTCCATTCGCGCGAAGAGATGGATACTGAAACATTAATTCATCTTGTGTTCAATGAGAAGGCTTTGTGGGACCAAAAAATGAAAACTTATCACAACAGAGAGGTTTCAAGGAAGTTATGGAAAAAAATAGTCAGGTTATGAAAGTTTCAAGGGACTAAATATTGCAATTTAAGTTTATTACAAACGTTTCTTTGCTACACATTCTACATTTATGTTTGTTGAAGCAGTGGATTGTGTGTGGCACGGATATTTAGGGAACGTCGAACTGTTGAATAATGTTACCTTCACTACTGTTAAAATAGTTTTTAAGTGCATCTCTGATGTCACAAGCCTGTTGTGCTGACCTATTATTTGATTGTGATTGTTTATATTTATTATGCTTGCATTTTGTGGTGTCGACGATGTAATAGATGGATCATAAATACTTTCCTTCTCAATAATAATATTATGTAACAAGCATATGCACTTTACGATTAAATCATCTTTATCTGGTCCAGTTTCAGTACACTTACTGAGTAACCTCCATTTGGCAGCAATTATACCGAAGGCACGTTCTACTATTCTCTGCAATAATAAATGTGTTCTACCCTTGATAAATCTCTTTTTGAATGTGGTTTCATCAGATAAGTCTTTAAAGGATACGCGCCATGACCTAATAAAACATGAGGAAGTGACACATCAGTTTGAGAAAGATTTGCATTTTGTGGTAACTTCGATGATCCATTTTCGAGGGATATGTAAAGACTTGATGCAGCGAAGGTTCCTCCGTCACTCTGTTTTCCGTGCCAGCCTATATCAACACACACAAATTTATAGTTTGCGTTACACACACCTTGCAAAACAATGGGAAAAAATTGTTTGTAATTATAAAACTGCGTGCCCGATTTTTCTGGACATTTCAAACGGATATGTTTCCTATCAATGCAACCCACACAATTAGGAACATTTCATTTATCAAAGAATTCAGCGGCGTTCTGATGGTGAAATACGGTTTCGGAAATTACTCTGCTTTTTCTTTGCTTCCTCAATAGCACTTATTATGTATTGGTATGTATTCAAAAAGTGTGTGAAATTCACTTTCACTTCTGTCTTGGTATATACGAATCATTCAGCCAACATCGTCGTGCGTTCCTTCCAGCTACTAAAAGCTTAAGCAAACTGTTCTCTGACAGATACATTTCTTCCTCAAGCTCCATTTTCATACTGAATGGCTCGCGCCACAAACGTTCGCGCGTTGTCGCTTGCAGTACTACCACTACACGTTCATACATTTCTGCGCGTGTACCAAAAAGCTGGCAGAAATTAAAAAAAGTTGACAGTGGAACCACGGTTCCGGAGAATCTGACGTAAATACCTCTCTGTATTGTATTGTAATAATTCTTATATTGAAATGCCTTGCGATTTCAATTGCGTGTTCAACCGTGGATGTTGATCAGTGAACAAGTCTTTTAATTGGGATAGTCGTTGGTTCGGAGCGGAGCTAAGTCCGGCTCAAGGAGAATTAGAGGTATCTTTCCAACTTCCACAATCACAAATCCAATTGAAGAATAATTTATTAAAAGATGTTGATATAGTGCCTAGTAGCACTCACAAGAATGATCTGTCTAAAGCGATCCAACATAAGTATTTATAATGCTCGTCTTAGGCGTTGGTCAAAGGAGTGGGGTTATAACAGTCTGCACGTGGTGGTGAAACATGAGAGTTGAATAAAGACATTTAATTCGTATTACTTGGTAACAGCTCCAATCGTTCCAAACACGTGTGAATTTGTAGGTCAAACAGCCTTTGTTCTCCTTGAATCGAGCCATACAATGTTACATACAATAAAATTTACACTTTTAATTTTACTTTCTTAGGTCTCTTATTACAATATAAGAAAAATACTTGTGGTTTTCTAAAAGGTTTTTAACAGCACAAAATTATCTAGTCTACGACGCACTTCTTCTACAAGCGATTCACAGCTCAGCTCTTTCCGCAATAACAAAGCGGATTGTTGACGACAGTAATGTAACACAACAATGCCGAGTAAACAGATGACGTTTCTTAGGTAACATAACAATGCACGCAAGCCGACCATTGTTGTCGGTCCATATTTACACATTGTTAATATGGATCTTACATGTTTTCCTTTCACTTTTTTGCCGAATGACCCTTCCGTATAGACGTATTTACGTTAAAAATATTTATACATTAATATATTCTGTAGCAAATAAAAGGTCCGTTACAGCAAGAAAACTTGGTCTTCCAAGCTCTAATACTCTGTTAAACAAAATGTTAAGGTTCGTTATATCCAGAGTAGATGGCAGGAGGGACATCGCAATATTTCATATAATGTCCTCTTGTTTCATTCACGAAATCTGATCACACTAATTGCATGTTCTTTTGAATAATGCACATAAGCTACTGATCGGTTTTCTATATATTTAAAACAAAGAAAAACCTTGTTGGTGTGATACCGTTGTTAACAAAGGGAAGCAAACTCCTGTATCGATTATTCAGCTTCCCATGATCGGTTTATACCCTTCAAGATTTGTCATTGTACTAGAAGAACCATATGTTGGTATGTATTTATGTGATGAACATTTACGGTAAAGACACAAACACGCTTTGCTACGCAAACTGACATTTTTCACACAAATATACAGACAACTAAAGTGGTGCGTAAAAGAATGCTGCAGTATCCCAACAATCAATATGACGACGATGATGACGTCAGGGCACGGCCCTCCCAACGTCACAATCACGGCCTCGGCTGGTTGCAGTCAGCTCTTGTACACGTGAACAGCATGAGAGCGATCACGCTCCGAGTGCCTGACAACTGTACTCTCATTGGCAAATGATGTCGAGCCCCCTCGAACCATTGGTTGCATTCTGCCGCCCCAATACGAGACCGCGTGAAAATGTTGAGACCTCCAACACATCCCGTGGATTGTACATAATAATACAGTTTGGTTTGAGAGAAATTTTCAGTTTAGTGTGCGAAGTAAAGGTGGATTGAAGTGGACGACAGCTAGCAAAGTTATAAGACAGCTTGCTTCAGGAAATATGGACAGACCGTCAGATATGGTGCTGTCACCACCTGCAACTCCGCCACCGCGGAATTCAGTAAGTACTAGAAAGGCTAAGCAAAACATACCATTTTATTAGTTATTAAGTGGTGTTGAAGAGTAACAAATTCATCTTTCTTAAAAACTTTAAAACATTTATATTGGTATTATTTTACATATCAAAGTGATTTATCAAAAGTAGTTTGTTTGGAATGAAGCCGGAATGGGCTTGAGTTTCACTAACAAGCAGGAGGAAAGGAAAACTAGTGGTGGTTCTTTGTCGATCAAAGCGGCCACAAGTAAATATATTTTTATAGGAGAAATTTTTAATATCATTTTTACAAGTTTTATTGGCATCTTCAGATTTTTTGGCAATAAATTTTGACAAAAGAAGTAACTCTTTTAACTTATGATTTAACTTCGTTTTAAAAATAAATGTTATTTTGTGTCTATTTGTTACGGGGACGCCCTATCTCGGTTTTTTCTGTGAATAGAGCAGCAACAGTTTTAGCATTTCGTTGCGTCAGTGGTCGAAGCTGGGTCACGTCGGCGGCACGGAACTATCAGCTGGTGTTCACGTGAACAGTTGCCAAGGAGGGAGTAACCACCTACTTCACTCCACTGCCATGGGAATTTCTACTTCATGGCACAAAGAAATCAGGGGCCCCCGATATGGCTGCAGGGCGAACAAACAATTTGAATCGCTAGCCGTCAAGGCTCGATTTTTTAAAATTAAGGGTCAATTGCACAATTTTAACTAAATTAGGAATACAGATCGGAGTGATGATTGTGACTGGCGAGTATACTAAATAATCTACCACGATCACAGTGTTTTTAATAAACAATTAGCAAGCGTAGGAAAGCGAAAAAGGCGACCGACAGAAGTACTGCTTCTAACGTTCTAGTGATTGACACAATTGCCTTCGTATGAATTAAAAACCATTTATCGCGAATTTTTCGTTTTCTTTACGTAGTTTAAATTTGTGTAGTAGTTTCTAAAGTCTGCCATTTTTTGCGTTCAAGTCGCTAAAATTTCGTCGCCCTCGACTGGCATTTGATTGGAAATGGGAAACGGGGTATATTTCCCTGAACACGATTCGATTTGGAATGCAGGCATATAGGTATCCGATAATTAGGCTGGCCGAAATCCCGTCGTATTCTAGATTGCATGTTCCCCGTTTTTCCTCCCTTTTTAACTGCAGTTGCTGCCTGTACAAACAAAACAGTAACAAAATACGGTGTTTGAGGCATCTTAGGACAGAAGGTGGCTGTCTTCTGGGTTGTTGTGCCGTGTAGTCTGGTAGAAGTTTACCGACCTTTCAGAGGTCCTTGCTGCCTTCATCAACTGGCCTCAAAACTTCGGTAAACTTCTACCAGACAGAACAGAGCAAAAAACCAGAAGACTGCCATCTTCGGACTCGCCGCTTGGAGAACCTCAGATCTAATATCTTACGACAGGTTGGTTTTAATATTTATTTATGTTTTTAATCCTATTGATAGACACGTAATCCTGGAATCTCTTCATCGGCCTGCTGTCTGTACGCATGTGATAACTTGCGAAACCACAATGGATTTCCATGAAATTTGGTGTTGGGGACTTTTAGTAAAATTTCACAATGAAAAATTACAGTTCTGGTTGTAGTCGGACAACAGTACTGGGAATGGAAGTGACTGGATGGGGAATCCTGTAAGGTGAAGTCCCAACCACCTGCACAGCTTGGGGGAATCTTGTCATGACATCACCCAATCAAATGGCTGCCAGGCACCCATGCATGTGTTATTGACCCCAGAAAATGGTCATTCGTTTAGTTCACAAATGTCAAATTCTGGTAAACACAATAGAGTTGCGCTGTGCATATTTTCCAAAGCTGTTACGTAATGTGTTGGGAACTGAACATGGTTCCATAACAGAAGGGCTGCATTCAGAGATGAACTGGAGTTATCAGTTTGACCCCCTTCCCATTTCTAAACTATGCCCATATGCAACAAACAGCAAGGTTTAAGGCAGCCAGAATTTGAAACACTTTCTTCCATTCACTGCCAAGGATGATTTTACTGCTATACCTCTGTTCAGCCTCATGCCACAGGGCAGTATAACTCCTATTGCTAGCTATCTACATAAATCATTAATAACATTTTGTGATGTCAATGATACTGTTCATTGGGTAGTTACCATTGGACTCGCATAAAATTGTGATGTGTATGTGAAAACACTGTCAAGTTCGGAGAGGAGTGGCAGTACCAACATCCCCTTGTTTTTCATTCATGTGTCTTTTATGATGGTCATGGACCTGTTTGAAGGTAACTGAAGTAAGAAACTGATTAATATAACTAAAAACGTCAGCCTGATGTGTAATTAGACAGACGCATTATGTATAGTGTAGCAAGGGATACAGGAGAAGTCTGTATCGACATTTCGCCAGGTCATCACGATAGTTGATTCACATCTGGGATTCGAAGAAGTTACCCCCATAATGAAAATTTCTGTTATCATGCCTGGCTCTGTAAATTGTAGGTAGTTTACCAACCATACATGAGAGTTGTGTGAGCAGTTTCTCACCCCTTATTTATTTTTCAAATTTTACAGGACTGCAAATGTTGGCAGTTTAGAGCTATCTCCCTGGCGAAACAAATCTGTGTAATTCAGTGCATTGTACTGCATGCTTTTACTACTAATGATTCTGATTCCGATTCCCCCCATGCACTGTGTCACATTGACCACATTTTGGAATATGGTTCTTATGTTGGAACCCCATCCCCATAACTGGAAATGTTATAATTAAAATGTAAAAGCCTTTGTGAGTTGCATTGTTCATTTCCATGAAATTCAAGTGTTCTTATTCACTTATAAACATACACTTCGCTATGGTCTATAATATGAAGTGACCAACAATAACATAAATAGTGAATTTATGCTTAATTTATTATTCAATGTCAGTATCTCCACATGAAAATTTCATGTAAAAAGGTCAAGGAGGGGAAAGTGACAGCGTTGGACATGAATGAGTAGGCTGACAGAAAACATTTACTTGACAAAGATTTTTTAGTCAGTAATTTCAGTGGCAAACACATTTGGGAAGGTTTATTTCTCTTCATTTTTTAGGAATATTCTAAACTGAGCTGCAAAAATGTGCCTGTTGCTTTCACCATGTTTATCTGTCTGCCTCTAAATAACCCGCTTACCCATCTGCTGGCCTTCATGTTAGTTCTAGGCAATTTATCATCTCTGTCCACACCCACCAGCAGGTCATAGGCTGGTTTGGGTGGATCCAATTATGGCTAAGTTCATTTAGCACAGTCATGAGGTGCATTTACTGAGGTATTAGCAGAAGTTAACAGGAAGGCAAAATGATCTTGAACCACAGGTACTTAAAAAAAATGTGTGCGTGCACACACTCTTCTTCACTGTGTAAGAAGAACACAAATTTCTGAATGGGCTGCAGTAGTCATGTACACTGTTTATTACATTACAAAACCTAATTCATCTTCAAAACTCTGTAGAACAAGCAGTTTCATTCAAGTTTTTGCCTTTTGTATCTCACAAGGTTTTATTTAAAATAGCACCATGAGCTTTTTTGCATGTTTTGTTCAAAATCTGATTGAAAAGAGTATTGGAATTGAGACTCCTCTGCTTCCCAAAATCACTACTACTATGTAAATATGATCACTGATTTTCTCCAGCTTAGACTCGATTTTGAGAGGATGGCTCCAATGTGACATATGGCTGTCTGAATAGTTGATTGTTTTTCACTTCACCTCATAACTGTAATGTATGTCCGATCAATTTCCAAAGAGTGCTGTCAACAACAATCCTTTCAGAAAATGGTATTGGGCACATAAGGCTCTAACCTTACTGTCTTAATTTCAACACTTGCACAATTTCCATTGTATTATTTTGGAACCTCAGACAGCAAGAAATGACTGAACAGATTTTTATGAAATTTTTTTATTAGGGAAATGTTTCTAAAATTTGTCGTCATCAGACAACATGATAGAAATTTTAAATAGCTACACACACATTTCTTAGCATATCCCAAGCTAACAAGCTAAATATTTATCAGAACTGAACATGTTTCAAACAGGAGTTGTAGAGAGGAACGAAGCAAACATTGTGTCCTTTTACATGTTCAGTATGTCTTTACAGTTTTGAAGATAATTAGGGACTTTTATGACATGTCATAACGCAAGGACCATTGGACTGATCTTGATCATGAAGGTCCTTGTTTATCTGCCCCACCTGTTTTATGTTATGAGATAAACAATTACACTTGCTCTGCCTGAAGGCAGAAAGGGTTTTTTTGGGTCTCGGAGCCTGAGCATATCCAAGCTTCCATATGTCATAGTTCTTATGAACCTGGTTGCAAACCACCTCAAACTGAAACAGTTGATATGCTGGTGAGTGATATGTGATATGAGGGCAATAGGTGTTGATTCTGCACTTCCATCCATTGTCCTGAACGTGTTATACTGCATCATGCCATGTTAACTAAGGGGCCCACTTGTAGACAGAAAATTTTGGGCACAGAAATGTAATTTTACAATTGAATGATGTTCATTTGCAGAAAGAATATTAAATCTCAATAAATATATATCTGACAAATTTCTGCTGTGATTTTTTGTCTTTTTTGTGTAATTTGAATATCTCGCGGAGATTGTTCAAGAAAGCTGCCTTTATTGATTTAAGGTAAATAATATTAGACAGTATTTCTTTCTTTGTGCAGGAATATCATAACAGCACAGTGGATTTTGATTCTGTGAAGGCAGTGCTACCATTCAACAATGAAATTGCAGATAGCAAGAAGAGGAAACTTACTAATAACTATCACCATGAGGTGGTTCTCCCACCAGGGTTGCCAACACCTCAGCCATCAGACTCTGAGAGTGAGGATACCATAGCAGACTTACCACTGAGAAAACGTTCTTGCAGCCAGCTGAACACTGCGGAGTTCCAACTAGATCAGGTAATTACTTACTAAGGAGGGAAGGTGGATGGTGTGACCAAGTTTCTTGGTGCGTTATGTCTGAGATTAACACTTGGCCTGTGCAAACAAAGCATGCGAGTGCTTCTGATTCTCATTGCAAGGTACTTAATAAATGTCTATTTGCAGCTTCCACAAGCCAGTACTCCACCAAGAACACCCAGCCCAGACACAATTGTACCAGTGACATCCATGCAAGTTTCTGTTATCATGAAGGCTAACAAAGATGGGACATGCTCACCACAGCCATACGCAGGGAGAGTGGATACAGAGGAAGACGGCAGTAGGGGGTGCAAGAAGTGTGGCCAAGAAGAAAGCAAGCCGGAAAGAGCAGAGGCAATTCAGGCAGAATGTGGATCATGTTTCTTGGAGAGAGCAGTGTCTCCAGAGCCACGCGAAGAGAACATTTTGAAGAGCCTCAAGTACAAAATGAGCTCTAGGAAGGAGTTAATCTTTGTGAACAGCAAAGACACAAACCGAGAGATGGGTGGTGCCTTAAGCAAGAGCGCATACTCTGTACCTGCTTCATCTCCATTTTTGTCATCATTGCCTTCACCTCAAAATGCTCAGGGTATCCTTCGATCTCATATGAATCTCTCTCATCATTTGTTCACTCCCAGTATTAGTCAGAACAATCCTCCAGTTGCCATCGCTCCAAAACTGGCCATTGTTCCGCCGCCACCCCGCCCAGTCTTCCCCCTGGTGTCTGTTCCCTGCACCACCAGTAATATAAAGCAGGGTTCTGAGAAGAACACCACCCAAGCTGTGATACTGACGGGCGGCACACTCATTCCTGTGACAGCTACCACTCCTCAGCAAGTGCCTGCATCTCCACAAACATCTGTAACACACATTGTGCTGACACCACAGACGCAGCAAGATGCAAAACTCTGTTCTGCTACTAGCATCGTCCTGTTTGCAGCACCACACCAGCAAAACAAAGAGCCACCACCGGGTGTGGACTCCCGGCGCCGCGTGTATGAATGTGACTATGCAGGTTGTGGCAAGAACTACTTTAAGTCATCACATCTCAAGGCTCACACACGGACGCATACAGGTACGTGCATGCTCTACAATCTAAAGTAGATGAATGCGTGTTCACCGGGTAATGTGGTCGCTGTGTGACTTTGCACTTGTCATGCACATCATAAACGGAAATAATATTTTTGGGCATGTTGTGAATTGAAATACTCATTTCTTTCACAGGTAAGACCAAAAATATTTTTAATTTTGCCACAGTACATTTTTGAAAATGTTATAAGCAGAAAATTCTAGGTAAAATCATAATTTTAGGCACTACGGTGACCTGGCAAGTAGGATCTGTCTTGATGTACCAAACATTGCAACTTTAATGTAGAACGTGCCATGTGGACACATCAGCTTCTGCTTTATGCTGATGTTAATTTTGGGTTGAAACTAAAATATCGTAAGGAGAAATACACAAAAGCCTGTATTGGATCCTATGAAGGAAGTTGATCTTTAAGGAAATCCACAGAAAACTGCATTTGTGTGACATCACCAGACTACGGGACAAAATCATAATACAGAATGCAGGCAGCTAATTGGAGCAAATTTAATTTGTGGGATGCTTGATAGCTTGCAGTAGAGTATCTTTTATCGTGACATTGGCTATTCAGAAACATAAAGACTAAAATTGCAGAACTACATTTTATGGGTTGTTTTGTATGGACATGATACTTGGTCTCTTGCATGTAGAGAAGAAGAAAGATTGATGCTGAGGAGAGTATTTGGGCATCAAATGTGTGAAATGACAGGATGCTGGAGAAAAATGTGAAATTGGGAGCTCTGTGATTTGTATTATTCACAAAATAATATTAGCATGATCAAAACAGTGAGAGTGTTCAGGTTGTCACAGATGAATATGAAGGTTGTCGTCTTATGGGGAATTTCGTCATACACTCTGGTGAATACTGCCTGATGTCTCAGAATTAGCTTACTTTACTGCTCTCTCTGATCGAGGCAGTAAGCTCCTCCAAAACTGGTCATTATCTACCAGACTTCATGGTGCAACATCCCAGAAGACAGCCATCTTCATATTTAGGGAATGTGAATGAGAAATGCATGGTAGAGATGAAAAATTCTGATCATAAGGATGATGTAGGGGAGGATATGGATTGGATTCATATGGCCCAGGATAGGGAGTGCTGACAGGACCTTGCAAACACTTTGAAGAGCCTTCAAGTTCCGTTAGAGGTAGAGAATTTCATGATTGCTGTGCATACTATAATACAACCTTTTTTATACAGGAGAGAAACCATTTGCGTGCCAGTGGGATCGGTGCGGGCGCCGGTTCTCACGTTCCGATGAGCTCTCCCGCCATAAGCGTACCCATACTGGCGAGAAGAAGTTCGGCTGCAGGGTGTGTGCACGCCGTTTCATGCGTTCTGACCACCTGGCTAAGCACGTGAAACGGCATGCTCGTGAAGCAGGTCCCAGAACTCGGGCCCCACTGTCACCACCGCAACCCATGCACCTGAACCTAGTGCTGCCCCAGCCATCTATAATACCTCTTCGCCCTTTGTCACAAAATACCTAACTTATTTAACGTCAATGCTATCAAAACTGGTTTTACTTGTTCTTGCTTGTTGTTTTGCTGAATGCAGCCCATACTTTGACTAGCGGGCCTCCATTCGAGAGGATGTTTTTCAACTTTTCTCTTTTAATGTGGCTGTATCCTGTTGTAGAAGTATTATTTGGTAGTTTGGATTTACGTTTTAAAATGAAATATATTACTTGCAGTTTTGAGAAAATTATTTGCATTGATGTGGTGTTCTTTTAAAGTAATCAAGCATTCTTGACTATTCTTTTCAAAGTGAAGCACATTCCAAAGTGTAATTTCATCTTTATTGATTGTTGGGTTGGGTGTTGACGAAGAAAGCTGAGCACATCTGATATATTCACCATCAATGCTAGGGAATTTGTTTTATACTCACATATGACAAAATGGGGTTATCATCAGCTGTGGGATTTTATGTTTACACGCAGATGTATTTGTCATGAGGAGATGCATGCATAAACCAAGACTGACTGAGCACTAAGAAATTTTCAGGGTTTTTTTTAATTTCTTTTAATACAAATCTGTGATGTATATAGCAGTTGTTAAGTAGAAGTTAATTTATTACTACCGTTCATCTTAGCTTTATATTTGTATTAACCATGACCAGTAAGAGATAAAGGCTTCTAGAATCTTTTCCTGTAACCTTGAAGGTTGTATCTTTTTATCTGTGCATTGCAATCACTTTAACAATTGTATATCTTATAATTTCGGTATTATAGTAAAATTATATATGTTTTAAGTGCCTGTATAATTTATTAAAGATATTCTTTTCATATCCTGCCCAACTATTTTCCAAATCCTTCACCTCAAAAATAAATGCCTGCACTTTATGAAATGTATTAGGAAGTCATGGAAATGCAATGATAAGGTAATATAAAGTGAAACAATATTTTTGGGTGGATGGATGTTATAGATCAGGATCTAATAGTAAAAAGAACTTGGGTTAATATAACTTACGTTTGACTTAAGCCCTTCTTACCAGATCAGATACATATATCATTAGTTAATTTTGGAACCTATTATATCTCAGTGCCTTTGTGGTTGATCGAAGATATTCATTGTACGAGGGTCGCTCATTAAGTAATGCCCCACATTTTTTTCCTCAGAACATATTTATTCAAGATGGCTCAAATTTAGTGACAATATAAATCAATGTTTCCTTTACACATACTATTTTTCCACATAGTCCCCATCAACTTGTACGGTTTTACGCCAGCGTGGAACAAGGGCATGCATGCCTTGCCGGTACCAGCTCTTGTCCTGTCCCCGTAGCCATGTCCTCACTGCTTGAATCACGCTCTCGTCATCTTCAAATCTTGTTCCGCGGATAGCATCTTTAAGTGGCCCAAAGAGATGGAAGTCGGAGGGTGCCAGATCTGGACTGTAGGGTGGATGGGGTAGCACCGTCCAACCCAATTTGGTGATTTCTTCCCGGGTTCTCAGACTTGTGTGAGGGCGTGCATTGTCGTGCAGGAGCAAAATTTCTGCTGGATGCTTGTGAGGCCGAACTCGTCGAAAACGCTTCTTGAGGGTTTTCAGGGTCCTGATGTACGCGTCTGAATTGATGGTCGCACCTCTTGGCATCACATCCACAAGAATGACCCCATCACTGTCCCAAAAGACAGTCATCATGACTTTTCCGGCGGAGGGCGTTGTCTTGAATTTCTTCTTTCTCGGTGATTGAGGATGATGCCACTCCATTGACTGCCTTTTTGTCTCTGGCTCAAAGTGGTGTATCCAGGTTTCGTCACCTGTAATGATCCGGGACAGAAAGATCTCTCCCTCAGCATCAAAACGCTCCAACAATTCAGAAGAAATCGTTTTCCTTTGAATCCTGTGGTCTGCTGTGAGACTTCGTGGAACCCATCTTGCGCACACCTTCGAATATGCGAGAGCCTGGATAATTGCAATCACACTTCCATTGCTGACTGAAAGCTGTTGGGCCAATTGTCGAGTTGTGATGCGCCGATCCTCACGAATAATGGCATCCGCGCGGTTCAACAGCCCAGAGCGCGGCAGATCACGGAGCTCGGTTTCTTCACTTCCTGAAGCTTTAACTCTCTTAGCCCCGCGACCAACGGTGCTCCTATCGACTGCACAGCTTTCATACACAGCACACAAACGTTTATGAATGTTCACCACCGTTTCTTTTTCAGCAACAAGGAATTCAATTACAGCTCGTTGCTTGTAACGAGAGTCGTTCACAGACGCCATTTTAACAGTTCACTACAGCTCCGCTATCGGTTGGAATCATTTGAAACTCCGTACACGAACGCGGGAAACATCAAATCTCAAGCATGTAAAAGTACACTTTTCTATCTTCATTATTGGCTGAGAGAAAAAATGTGGGGCATTACTTAATGAGCGACCCAACCTTTTTTGTATTTTCCTCAATTGCTAGTGTAAATACAGTTACTCCCCCCCCCCTTGAAAATGGTTCAAAAAATTGCCTTTCACTGGGAAGGAAAGATGAAAATTCTATACGTTTTTGAACCATACTGAAATTTTCATCCTTTTCATTTTGGCCTTGAAGCAGCAATTCTACTGTAATCAGCTCATTAAACGTATTGGAATCTCTGTTTTATGTGCACAAAACCTGTGCTAGGAAATATATAGTTAGGCCCAACTCAAGTCTCTACATAACCATTATAATGCACCTTATACACCATGGAAAGTGGCTATTAAATATTAATCGTACTATTGTGTGTGCAGAAATGTAGTATTAAATCCTCGCAATCATACCAAACACCAAGTGTTAATAATATGCCGTCGTTATGTTATATAGCTAAACGTTTATTATATACTACAGTTATTCTAGCATGAATGTGATTCGAGTTCCCTTTGTTACGCAACAGTGAGAAACGTGGATTCCACAATTGTGAAAATCTCAACAGACATGGGCCATATTGCTCCCCCGTGAACAGATAAAAAATAAGATGTGCATATTTTTGGTGCAAAAATTACAGTGCTTTTCAAAGCCAGATGCTAATTTTTTTTATAGCCGTCCTGCTTTCGCCATTGCTGCTGCTGTGACAATAATCAGAATGTGGGGTGAAATGTTTGTGCGCGTCTTTGTCATAAATCACTAGAAGTACAGCTATTGGGAGCAAGCAACAAGTGCGAGGCGAACGTGGGGCACGTGATACACATGCGCTGACCTCAGCCGTTTTATTTATATCGATTTCTGAGAAACGCCACACAGATAAATGAGAAAATGACACAGCAACATCGGCGTAACGCAAGTAGGTTGGCAAGAGACTGAAATTTCTCGGCACAATTAAGCACTGGCACATGTAGCGATCGGAGAGTAAAGACGGCAGCTATTTAAAGGGGGTTACGGGTTGAAAGCCCTTGCCCATGAAATGTCGGGGAGCAAGCAAAGATTAAATAATCGTAATCTCTGTAGTTCTTTTTAACTGATTTCACATAACACCCCAGAACTCCAAAATTCGTGCCTGCTGCTGCGAAATTGTGTACATTTCCGTTAATTCGACAGTTTGAGGTGTGGAGATGTGGGTTCCGGTATTTTTTAGTATCTTCAGCAGAGTGCCATCCACGCTATAGTAACCTGTTATCGGAAGCTCAAATGTTTTGGTGGCCAAGAGCATTACAAATTTCGAGGACGCGCGTGAAGAGAAGTATAAATTTGGAATTCCTGTACAGGATAACAATTGAAATTAGTCACATACGATAAAAAATTATTTATAGAACATTGCAAATAAAGTATATGTCAAGTCTACCGGGGTTCGATCCCCGACGGGGGCAGAGGCTTTTTCCTCCAGCCTCTGCGTCCAGACCGGCTCTGGGGCCCACCCAGCCTCCTATCCAATGGGTACCGGGGGTCCTTTCCCGGGGGTAAAGCCGGCCGGGGCGTGATGCTGACCATTCACCCCCATCTAGTGCCGAGGTCAAGAAAGAGAGGAGCTATACCTCCACTCACCCCAAACGCCTACATGGCGTATAGTGGGACAGCTTTACTTTACTTTTATATGTCAAGTCTGTAATCCTCAATTTGACGTACAATTTTATTTTTTAATGAGCTTTCTAAGCGAAAATAAAAAAAATAATTTTGCAATTCAGTAGCACTTGGGATTCAAATATATGCGTGGACATATCACAAAAGGGCTTTTCTTAAGTGGTTACGTGCTTTTCAGGGGATTCCCCACCCAGTCACGCATTTGCTTGAGTCCATTCTCCTGTTAATGGCCGTCATAACTTGGTGTGACAGCGATCTTTGGGTTTCAGATAGTTTGTTAGGTGGACTAGTCTTACATCGAATGTCGGGTTGTCATCCCATGTTAGACAACCCATTTCATACCAAAATTAATTCATTAAATCTGTTTGCCTTTCTCGCTGTTTAACTCGGACATTTTGGCCGTTTAGTAAAGAAGTGATGTAAGAGGACTGTGATGTGTATAACACTACATTTTGCAACGTGTGTTCTGATTCTTGAGCCTTTTTTCTGTTATTCCCAACAAGTTTGCAACATAGTTAACTCTCATATCATAATCGCATAAATTCCATCAAACACTACATATTCATTCAGTGAGTTTCATTCCACACTTCCGGACTATAATCAGAAAACGAAGATGAAAACAGGCATGGGCGTTGTGAGATACCTGACATCTTACCAATAAGAGGGACGTCGGCGAGCTATAGAAGAGAGAAGTAAAGGAAGCCGTAGTGCAGGTGTCCGTCGTGATACTTGCCTTCTTCTTCCTTTGGAATATCCTCTTCCTCGATTTGTTAATTAACAGCTCTCATTTGTATGACGTGTTTCTATTTACCCGCCCAATAGCCCAAAATACAATGGGCACCATAGTTAAGACACGTTTCTGAGATTTGTCCGCTTTTTCACGCACACAAATCCCTGCACTGTAACTGAACTCGGGATGTTCAACGTCGTACCAACTCTTATTCCCGAACAATGAAGTATTCTCGAGTGATCGGGCGTGTGAGAATGAGGTTATAGCCGCTCAGTGATCGGAGCTTGGCTCCTTGGTGACACTTGAATCTTCTCAGGGGTGTTAACGGCATGTAACTCCCGACAACTAGAAGCTGCCGCTATTGCTGAATATATTTTTTTCTTTTTACACTATTTATTAATTTAAGAACAATACAGATGATATTTGGCTTTAGCCGCAAGACGATGATTTCAGAAGTGTATTGGATTTGCGTGCGACTGTGTTCAAAGTCTGTTGAAGAGTCCTCAAATCTGACGCGCTGCTGTAAGCGTCCTGTCCCTGGTTCGAAACATTCAAAACCATTGACGTATTCACTTGCATTCAGCTCTTTCAAAGTTTCTCTCTCACACTATTTAATGTGTACGGTCCACTGACATTCGTCTGCTGAGTGACAATGAACCATAAAGTCTAAACTGACTTTCTACATATTGCCGCCATAAATGTTAAAGTGTGACACTTGGGACTACACCCAATTCACGACAATTTATTGCCCATTGGTGTCAAAACCAAGATTTGCGGGAACCGATGGTCCTCGCACGTCAGTGTCTTAAACACTTAGGTAGATGCCAGGGAATGGAAGTATCCATCCCAGTATCACACTCCAAACACCACAAAAAGTTAAAACTTTGAAACGAAAACTTAAAACAAATTCAGATTAATAAAATAATAAGAAATTAAATAGTATGATTAAATTACCTCAGCAGAAGTTATAATTTGGACCGTTACAAGATTGTGATCCAACGTTTCCGAGACTCTGCCTTCATCATCACGGTTGGTTGG